AACAAAGCTACTTAGATCTGCTTATCTATAACTAGTGGCAAAAAATTTTTCAACCTATAGCTATTCATATCTTAAAACTGTGAACCTCATTTCTCTTTTAAAATTCTAATAAGTAAAATGAGATAAAGCGAGGGGAAAAATCAAATCAATATGTTGAACATTTTAAAATTACACAACTTAGTATATTAAATATATCTCAATAAAAAGGGGGAAATAGACTCAATTATGGGGCTTTTAAGTTGGAAAATTTGTCAGTTATCTGAGTGAGAACTATGAGCACATTTTCTTTTTTGTGTGTGCTTCCTACATTTTCCAAATTTTCTACAATGAACATGCATCACTTTTATAACGTGAAAAACTTGTAAAATCTATCTTACCCATCCTGCCTACTTTCTCACACTCCATTCCCCCAACACACCTGGAAATTTCAATCCTCCTAACACAGAGTCCTTTCCAGCATCACTGCAAAATTGTATGCCACCTCCCAATTTCCCATCGAAGGATAAAATAGCAATGTGCTGTACGTAGATGTAATTAAGTAGAGGATAAATCCCTTTTGAACTTGTCAAGGGAGTTTTTGAGACAAAAGATTAGAAATGTAAATTAAAAAACAACAAAGTAATTTCTTATGTCAATGATTATAATCAAGTTCTCTTAGAACAGTCAAAACAATTCTCATCCTAGGTGAAAACTGGTGTCTGCTCATCAATGTACTGAGTATCTACTAAATGCCAAACACATAGCTTGGCTATTCATAAGCTTCACTTTTTAAAGCTACGTTTATCTTATGGATAGTCTACAGAAAAATGTAAAATCTTTAGAAGGTTTTGGGCAATCATTCATCAGAATCAATAATTTTTAAGTGAAAAAAAAACCTGAAAAAAATTATTGGTACTGTTATTCCTTGTAGAACATTACACCTATTCACCATAATAAAGCACTGCCAAATTAAAGACTACCAAACAGAATGGGAAAATCATTTTCCTTATTATAGAGGTGTCTAACAAGTAGTCTGAATTTATATTAAAGTTAACTCTGGTAAATTACATGTTTGGCCAATTTTTAGAAAGTTTACACATCTACCGCATTGGAAAGCAAAACATTGATGGACCCACAGAACTGTGGCAGCTTGAAGAATATATGTTGGGCAAACATATAGATCTGAATTCAAACTCAAAGTTACAGTGCAACTGTGGAGCATTCCTGAACTTAATTTCTTAATTCGTAAAATAGAAATAATACCCACCCACCTTACTGGACTGTTGTAAAGAATAAGGTGTACTGGTATATAGGATACCAAGAACAATGTCTGACATACTGAAAATAATAAATGTTATTGTTTTACTCTCTTCTATAAAGTAAATACCATATCTTGTCATTTTTATATCCTTCAATATGGCTTTAGTAGGTACTCAATAAATGTTTCTTTAAATGAATCTCTATAATTTAAGGCTAACTACTTCAACCTCCACTTCAGCAAGTCACCTCTACTAAATAAATTCTGCTGAGAATGGAACTTTAGATTCCCAGCACTTTATCAGGCATTTTGATGAAGATGAATCTCCATTAATTGACAAGGTAACTTTATTAGTATGTTAATATTTGGGTCTGAAATCTATAAAATTTGCCAACATTTTCATTTTGAGATTCTTTATATAGTTTTCATTAATCCAATTTCCTTGAAAATAAAACTTTAACTTCTTTGGCCTCACAAAACTCTCTCATTAAGATTCCTACTACGTCTCAAATTTAAAAAAGAAATTGTCAATTAATTTTATATTTCTAAATAGCCTATTTTAATTTTTATTACAGCAAATAAATGTTCTTCCTTACTACTTTGAAGTCTCTAGCCATCAAAGTTCATGTGTAAACATTATTACATAGAAATATTATAGTAATTAACAAGACAAAGTACTGTGGTTTTAGATTTTCTTTGTCTTCCTACAACCAAAGGTTATCAATAATCCAATTCCAGTTCAAGTACTAAAGTATTGCAAATTCTGCAATATAATTTGAAAATGTTAAATATATGTTTCAAAAAAAACATCAATTTCATTAAAAGTAGGTAACATGTAACTTTCAGAGTGAAACAAGTATTCCTGAGATAAGATATGGCAAAGTAGCAGTTTTTAACTACTAAACATAAATCTTCAAACTTGGGACATAAATTACCATTTAAGTACTTAAAATAGCTTGGCAGAGAAGCAATAAGAACTTCATACTAAATGACCTTTTATTTTTTTATTTTTATTTTTAAAATATATTTTTATTGATTTTTTACAGAGAGGAAGGGAGAGAGATAGAGAGCTAGAAACATCGATGAGAGAGAAACATTGACCAGCTGCCTCCCGCACATCCCCCACTGGGAATGTGCCCGCAACCAATGCACAAGCCCTTGACCGGAACCGAACCCGGGACCTTTCAATCTGCAGGCCAACGCTCTATCCACTGAGCCAAACCGGTTTCTGCTAAATGACCTTTTAATTTAAATAAATTCAAACTTAGAAGTATTTTTAAAAAAATTGGCTCTACAAGCAAGTTTGATAAATATTTAGTTACTATAGACTAGTTTCTTGACCCAATGAAATAATAAAATGTTTTAATAGATGGCAGTGCCAGGTGAGACAAATTTTATTGCCATTATCTTAAGTGCTGATATAATTAATCTCAGTTATTTTAATAAACATGATATAGTTCAAATGCATTAGAAATAGAAGTGAAATACATTAAGAAAAATGCCCTGGATATACATGACAACCTATAAGTTAACACTTAATAAAAACTATTCTTTTTCTGGGTTACATTTTAGTTTATTTAAACTAAAGACTAAATTTAGATGTTTCCTTACTTTGGTCCCACTTTTAAAAGTCATATTTAAAATTTCTTATTTATCTAACTTTATTCCTTGTTATTGTCAAAACTGATATTAAAAGTTCCCAACCATGCTGAAACCAGTTTGGCTCAGTGGATAGAGCATCAGCCTGAGGACCGAAAGGTCCCAGGTTCGATTCTGGTCAAGGGCATGTACCTTGGTTGCAGGCACTTCCCCAGTGGGGGTTGTGCAAGAGGCAGCTGATCGATGATTCTCTCATAGATGTTTCTAACTCTTTATCCCTCTCTCTTCCTCTCTGTAAAAAATCAATAAAATATATTTTTTTAAAAATAAAGAAAAATAAAAGTTCCCAAACGTTATATTTTAATACAGATAAAAATGTTTTCAGGCCCAATGTCTTTCATACCAAATGTCTATAAAATACAAATTAGGATGCCAAATATCATATAATTCTGAAGCCACTCCATTCAAAGAAAAATGCTCAAGTCATTTTCGTGTGTGTGTGTGTGTGTGTGTGTGTGTGTGTGTGTGTTTTTTCCCTAAATAGGAACCTATTCATATTTCAAGATTAGGCAATGGAATGCATTTCCGATTGTGCCTCAAACAAACTTCATTTTAAAAGCTCATGTAAATTAATAAAACAATAAATTTCATTCATTTCGCAAATGTGATATGCTATAAGACCTCCTTATAAAAAGCTAAGAATAATTAAAATACTATATAGCAACATATTTAATTATTCGAAATTCAGCTTTGATTTCCAGAGGATTCCAAGTTTGTAACAGCTCGTTGGTATATTTTACTGAAATCTCTATTTCTGTGAAGGAAATATCAAGTATTATAATAATACTTTCAAACTTACATCTTGCACTTAGACCTTGCATATGCAGAGATCTATTGAAAAATATACTTGAAAGGCAAAAAAAAAAAAAAAAATAGAAGTAGTTGCAATAATTTTGACATCAAGAATCAATCCTTCAGTCTAAACTCAGTCTCAACTGTCCAAGGCACTAAAGAAATATAACATTTGTTTCCATCTCTTAGAAGCCTACTAGACTAAATTAAAACAAACCCAAATAAGTTTAAGTCAAAAAAACAAGACATGAAATTTTCATCCAGATGTAAACATCTCTGGAAAACTCCAAAGTAATGAAAACTAAATCCAACAGGTCTTTAGAGACCTAAAAAAAACAAAAACCATGCCTACAAAGATCCAATATCTAGCTGGAAATAGGAAACAATAACATTGCTACTGGACATGGACTTCACTAATTAAGGGACCAAATTCGTTCTCATCTCCTGCAGGCACAGCAGGGCCTTAGCAATCTTCCCTTTGGTCGACTTGCTTTCCCGTTTGTAAACAACTTCTGTAGCTTTTTCCCTCTGGCGTTCAAGCGGGAGGGAAAATGAAAGTCTGAGAAGCTAAGCTTCCGAATCTGAGCAGGGAGTCGCCGAGAAGGGGGATCCCACAGATCACTTAGGAAAAACAGAAAGAGAAAAAAAAAAAAAAAGGGGGGGGGGTGAGGGGTAGCCCCCGATTTAGAGAAAATCAGTACAGTCACCTGAAGAAATTGGTAAAGTAAAACCAGCCTTTATACGGTAGTAAGACACGTTTTTAAAAACAAAACAAAAAACCACACACACACACAAAGTTGTCTGGGGGCTGGAAGTTATGGGGGCGCTCTTTGTGCGAAGTCTGAGGGGAAGGGGAGGGCCCAGAAAACAGCCTGGGAGTCATTCAAAGGAGCGAGAGCAGCGGAGCCCGGGCGCGGGCGGGGCGGGGCCGCGCGGCCGAGGGAGGGAGGGCGGGCGGGAGGGGGCGGCGGGCAGCGGGCGGCAGCCCACCCTCTGACACCCGGGAGGGAGGGAGGGAGAGGGAAGGAGAGAGGGAGGGAGGGGGCGGGGAGCGGGCCGCCCGGGCCGGGAGGGAGCGGACGCGGGCGGAGACCGGGTCCCCCCGGTCGGTGGTGAAAGCGGCGGCGGACGGGGCGCTGGGCGGGGGAGGGTCCGGCTCCCGAAGGAAGCGGCTCCCGGGAGAGACATCCCCAAGTGCCCGCACTTAGCGGGCGAGGGGCGCGGCGGCCGCAGGGCTTCCGCGGGCCCCCGACCCCGCGCCAGGTTCCCCGCTCTGTCCAGAGCCCCGCAGCCGGGCCGCGGCCCTGCTTACCTGGAGCTCCGTGAGCAGGATCTCCCCCCGCTCGGGGTTGGACGCCATTGCACTCCGCTCTGGACTCCGCACCTGGACGCGACCGCCGCTCGCGAAGGGAGAAGGCGGGACGGGACCGGGGAGGGGAGGAGAGGGTGAGGAGCGGAGAGAGAAAGGGAAAAAACACACAGAAAAAAAAAAAAGAAAAAAAAAAACTTAGGGCTTCATGGAGGCGCAGCCCCTGCTAGCGGCGCGGCTTACTCCGCCCGGTTCATGGGGAGCGGCGGGGAGCGAGGGCACTCATAGCGGGCTCCCCCTCGCCGCCCGCCCGCCGCCGCCGCCGCCGCCGCCGCCGCCGCCCTCCCGCGCCGACTCCGTCCGCCCAGGCGCTCCCTCCGGGCGCCGCCGGGAGCCGCCTCTCGCCTCTCGGTGCGGGCGCAGCGGCCGCGGCCGTAAGCTCCTCCTGTCGCACCATTTAGCTGTCACTGCGTCGCAAAAGCGGCCGCACTTGGCGGCCGCCGGGACACGTGACGGCCGGGGGGTCGCGGCTTCGCGCCTGGCGGGAAAGGTGGGGCGGTGGGAGACCGCGGGTGGGGCGGAGCGGCGTCCACCCGAGTTGGGGGGTGTGGGTGGGGGGGAGCTGCCTGCGGACCCGCACGGGGTGAGGAGGGGAGGGGAGCGCGGGGCTCGCGTCCGCCGGGCGGCGGGAAGAGGAGGAGGAACCTCCGCCCGCGCTCCTGCTCCGTCCAGCGGCTCCCACCGGGAGCACCGGGGCTCGGAGCCTGCTCACTCTAGTTTGTTTTGCTTTCTCCCCAGCAGACTTTCTCGTTTCTTGCTGGAGGTTAGGCCTCACGGAAACGGGCCCCTCCCTAATTTCCACAATCCCAGTAATCTCAAACTGTATAGATGATTCCCCTGTGGTCCCTCTCCCCCCCTCCCCGCTGCCACCCCAGCTGTTAATCCTGCTTTTTTTTTCCTTTTTTTTTTTTTTCTTCCTTTTTGCTCCCTCCCCGCCCCCGCGCGCCTTCGGACCAGTGAGGCGCACGGGGCTCCGCTGGGGTGTGGTCTGCACTTTTTAAGAAACCTAGCAGCTCGCGATATCTGGCAACTTTTAACGCGCAGCTTTTCTGAGAGAGATCTTTTCCCAAGCACTGAATATGGTTTTGCCGGTGGGACGCCACAGAATTTAGGATTTCATTAGCTGGCTTCTTGAACAGTTGTAGCTGAATTTAAACTGGAGGAGGCAGGGCGGGATAAAAGCCAGGAATGGGGTAAAAGCCAACTCTCCTTGGTGTAGTAAACATGCAAGCTAGTCTGTTAGTGACATATAGCTAAATAGCGTAAATTTAGGGTGTGTGTGTGTGTGTGTGTGTGTGTGTGTGTGTGTGTTTTAAATGACTATCGTATTCAGGAATGCCAATAAAGTCTTAAGCAGGTAGCTTTTGTTTAGTCTGAGCACTGAATAGATGTTATTCTAGGCAACTGCCTACCTTTAGATTATCTGAGGCTGAAATACAATGGCTTTGTGAAAAGCTACCTTGGAGAAAGTGATAGGGATTCGTTAGATAGCTACTTCAATAATGGCTTAGTTGTGATACTTCTTAAGAAGTATGTATACCATTATGTACCTGTCTTACACTCTGTGTTAGATCTGTTAGACTGATGCTGGGATTTCATGTTTTATCTTTTTGTCTTCTCAAGTCTCATGCATTCATTTGACAAACATTTGTTGAAGGTCTAGACTTCTGTGACCAGGTTTTCTGAACTCCAACTCATGACATGTGAAAAAGAATTTTTCTGGTGTGTATTTCAAAAGTTTTACAGCTATTTATATGTTTAATGCATTGCTTTGGTTGAAAATAGTAATTAAAATATATGAAATAGCAACTCTTGGAAAAGCCAGATTATAAATGTCCTCCCTGGTAACTAAGAGCCAGACAGTGAGTGTTCTAAGGCCCTGGAGTTAACAGCTAGGAGTACGAAGGAGTTCTTGTCCCTGGAGTGGTTGTGAGTCCTTTAGAGAAACAGACTGATGTCCAAACCAATCTGTTTCAATAATGCAATTTTAAATGGTAAGGATGAAATGTTAGGGGAGCACTGCATGTGATAAAGTATACATAACAAAATTTACCATCTTAACAATTATAAGTGTACAATTCAGTGGCATTAAATGCATGCAAATGTATTTTGCTTATTTTTTTTGCCTTGCCTTATTCCAAAATTGATTTAATATTGCTGGCATGCGCATAGTAGGTGCTTAACAATGATGGAATTTAAAATGACCTATGTAAGGACTGAGAAATAAAGTCAAAGCGTATTCTTTTTAAAAATAAATTTGGATACAATACAGAAAACACGTTTTTAGCACCATGGAGTTTTAGCCTAATTTTTATAAGTAGGGGGGTGGGGGAAGAAGCGTAATTTACTTAGCTAATTAGGAGCATGGCAATTTAGTGGCAGAAATGGAGCCTAGAACCTAAATCTCCTAATTGCCAGTACTGTTTCTTTTAACCTAGATTGAGAACTGTGGCTCTAGAGCCACGTGTGGCTCTTTGGCCCCTTAAGTGTGGCTCTTCCACAAAATACCACGGCCTCGGCGAGTCTATTTTGAAGAAGTGGCATTAGAAAAAGTTTAAGTTTAAAAAATTTGGCTCTCCAAAGAAATTTCAATCGTTGTACTGTTGATATTTGGCTCTGTTGACTAATGAGTTTGCCGACCACTGAACTAGGCCATGCCGCTATAAGTACTTTAAAATAGAATCCTCATTCAAACGGAACTCAAAGCATTATATGCCCCCTCAAATTTTTTAACATAGAAAAACACTTCAAATTTTACATATTTCTAGTGCTAAAACAAATATTGACAATAACTTTAATTGTATATATCACATGTAAATGTAAACAACAAAAATAAAAGTGTTTAAAGTTATAGGAATTATTTCTGAGATCAGTTATGCTGGGAAAAGTAGTATAATACAAAAGGGAGAGACCAAGACAAAATGAAAACTGCTTGATAATTTGAAAAATGGTTTAAACAGTAATTAGTTTAATTTAAGCTAAAAACTGATACCCATCTCATAGTCTCTGTTCAGGTCCAAGGTAAGGGGAAGTAATAGTACGTGGAACATACTTATCAGAATGAAGCACACTTGAAAAGTTTTCGTGGAAATTCAAATCATGTTGATTCAGATGAGTTGTATTCAGTCCCTATTTGCAAATGTTTTTAGGGAATCCTAAGTGTAGTTCAATTGAAGTTATGTTCTAATTTATATTACCAATAAAACAGATGAAAGGTTTTTTTACACAGGTCCATATAAGAAGTTAAAGACCTCAACTATATCTGGATTGTATCACTAGTTATGCAAGCATCTTTAAACTTTTTTCAGAGCAATTTTAAAGTTCTTTAAGAATTAGAAATTACCAAACATACAGAAATAGTTTCAATTAACAAAAATTCGATAGGAAGTATTACTTTGTATTTTTCATCTTAAAATGAAAAATATTATAGGAAAAGTCCTAGTAGAGTTGGATTTCATTATTTTTGTTTTCTGTATTATTGGTGAGAAACAGATTTTCAGATATTTGGACGATAAGGATTATATAGGGAAAGGATCAATAAATTTTACTTTGTGAACCAAACTTTTTATTGCCTTGCTATTTTTTTATTTTCCTTTTTTCCTTCCTTAATATTAGTAAAGTGGTTTTTTCCCCCCAATTTTAGCTTATCCCAAAAGCATTTTTGGAGTATCGAAGGAAGATAATTTTTGGTGGTGGTGTTGTTTTGATGTTAGTGTTAAAAAAAAAAAGAGTAACACATACTCCTGAGTGAAATAGCAATGATAATCAAAGTCACAGGCTGCCAAAGGAGAGGCCGAACTCAGGGAGACAGAATCAGAACTACTTGATCACTCTTTTCTTATTTAGGAAATCCCTTGTAGGGAGTGTCCCTTTGTGTGCTGTATGAGGATAATTTTGAGAAGATAGTTTAAAAAAAAAAATTCCAGAGCACAGAAAAGTAAACCTGACTGTAGCAGATATTGTTTGCTATGTCTTCTCAGCCCACGTCCCCTTCTCTGAGAATTGCCCCTATTCCCAGAGAACAGGTCTCTGTAGCCATGTTGATTCTGATTGACCTAGAAATTTCAGTAACCTGGGGGGTGGACCATGATAGAACATCTCCAAGCCAACAAAATTCTGTTTCCAAAGATCTAGAAACAACACTGGAATGTTGATTAACTGGTGGCCCTGCAGTGTGAGGTGTATGGTTCTAGGGCTAGAATGGCCGTTTTCTGGTGTGTGTACAAAGATGCAGAAAATCTACTCTTTGGAAAAGAAAAAAGTTCCTCCTTCCTGTCACTGAGAATATAGTGCTGATCTCTGTCTTCATGGAATTTTAGTTTAGTTATGGAGACATAATGACAGAGAAGGTGAATTCAGGGGGCTTTGAATATAGGTCAGGCAGCCCTTTCCTGAGTATTTCACAGGTAAGTTGAAATCTCACTGGGGCATAAATGTTAACTGGGCAAAAACGTGTCAAAGACTTTCCAAGAAGAATAACAGTAAATAATCTAAAATGGGAGGGAGCGTTGTATAAGTACTGAAAGGCTAGTGAGACTATAGCAAGGAGATGGAGCAATAAGCAAGAACTTATAAACCATGTGTATCAGGATAGGATATGCTATGATAAGTAACAAATGATTCCAAAATTCTCAGTGCCCTACAATAAGGTTTGCTTATCTCATGCAACATGCCAACAGTTCTGCTCCATGTCTTCACTCTACTCAGGCTAACAGAGAGTCTCTATCTGGGATATTGCCATTGTCATGGCAGAAGGAAAAGAAAAGGTAAAAAAGGCTCTGCTAATGTGCAAAGAGAAGCAGAGATGAGAAACTATTTCTCCCAGGATGGTGGAAGAAATATAGCAGAATTGGTTCTTGATGTTTTAGCATTTGCTGGTTCTAATCTGTGGGAAGTTCAGCTACTCTATACTGTGTTTCTTCTGAGGTTCTCTGTGTTCCCATCATCTTTCCTTTTGCAAATTGGTGTGTGTGTGTGTGTGTGTGTGTGTG